CAATGCGCCGTAAAATCTGGTCTTGGGTAGTCATTCGTTATTTGACATTGGTGTGTTGGACTGCTTATGCTGTTTTCGCGACAGGTTAATGAACAAACAGATAAGTTGATGTACAGAAACATAGATAAATAGACATATAGATAGGTATATAGGCAGGTAGATAGATGTACTGATTGTATGGACAGATAGATGGAGATATGCAGTGCAGTGCATCATTTTCAGGCAAGGCTGTTCTAGGTGCCTTAAAAGCTCATCGTGTCCTTAGCGTATTAATCAAGATAAGCGCTTTCCCAGTTGTCCCCTAACTGGAAATGATTTGGAGTGCTTGTTCAAGAGCCTCGGTCAAGTGTAGCGTATCATTTCTGTGAGTGAAGGCAGTGCAGACCGCTTGTAGGTTTGTTTACCGGTGTAGTACGACTATTAATAACTGTGAAGTCAGTTTTTCTGTTGTGTTGCTGACATGCTATTAAATCGAAACCTCTTGCTACTGCGGAATTTTGCTGAGTAGTACTCCCGAAACTGTTCACCCCTTCATGCGTTTCCATAAACTTCTCATATGAGTCTACATACCAGTCTGTTGGAGCGGACACGAATTGAGCATGTTTGAATTCTCAGAATACCATAAATGAAGTCGTTCAATTTTTAGCATATTGAATATGCGTACATGTCTGAAGTGAATCCTTTCTGGTTTGTTCTGGCTCAGGTGTTCTTTCTAAAGCGATTGTTCTCTTAGACAGCTTTCTAGCTATTCCTTGGAGAGAAATATACAACAAATTCGGAAGTTGTATTAACGAGTTATACACTTTTGCATATGTTGATATAAACATCATTATGCATAGCATTGCATAAACGATGAATACTTGTATTGAGTCGTTTAGTTAAAGTTTCCTCTGAATTGTCTAATAGACTTGTTTTAGGTTTGCTCTGTATAAACTGCCGCACATCAAAGGCCATTCAAATTCCCTGATACGAAACGGAACGGCGTTCCTGTTCCTGAATCCACAGCTGCCACAATGGAATAATACGAAAAAAAGCTTGTCATCGAAAGACAACTGTTTAGCAATGACGTTGGCTCAATATTATTCCAACAGGAAGAACAACAAGATATTCTATTTCCTCTATAACGATCAACAGAAGTCAAATTTGGAATATGTTGGGCATACAAAAGGTAAAGTCGTTTACCAGCGTATAGAGAGATGATTTTAGAAATTGGCCAAGGATTGAGCAAGGAATTGTCTGTTTGAAATCATTACAGATGGTGATTCTGATCAGATTTAAAGGTGGAAGTACGGCGTACAAAAACCAATTAGATTCAATGAACATTATTGACATTTTGAGGTTGCTAGTGAAACATGAAGGGCTTAGACTCAAACAGAATTTATCGATTTTACTCTTTTCCTTTATTCAAAACACGAACACTGTTGCCTTATTTAACACAATCTAATACTTAACAGGATGGGAAGTCGTCGTTAGGTTATACGTAGAATAAAATGACGGTTGTATTCCGCTGCATGTAACTGAATTCTTTCCCATGCTATGTGTCAGTTTGAATACCAGTTCATGAACTAAGCAACTTATCAGTATTCTGTTATGGCACATCACTGTCAGAATTATAAACGTGATGCTGATTTTCAGGAGTTGTTATGTTCGATGAGGAAGGTGGATTTTGGCTGATTCACAGCGTGCCGCATTTTCCGAATCCCAGAAAATACGAATGGCCTTCAAGCGCCACCATTTATGGTCAGAGTGCATTGTGTATCACGTTTGGTATCGACGTCCTTGGGGATATAAGTACTAGGCAAATTTCTGCATCACCTAACGTTCGTTACCACAGTTCATGTTAGGCAAGCAACTTTATTTCAACCAACCGGGTATTTACGGCTCAAACTTACCGACCTACTTTGCGCAGAAGTTTCCATTTCTTTCGATGACCCTTCGTGGAAAATTTCCCAGGGCAAAACCTTATTACAGTACTTTAAAGCTGAAATCTCTGGCAGGTAAAGAGTTCGTCAGCTTTGCGAAATCCAAGCGATGGCAGAAAGGTAAATTTTCATGGTCATTTTACAACAGAAACATGTTTTACATAATATGTTCATTGTGTATATACCCATTGGCAAAGGAATCAATTTCCTGTGGCTGTGCGATCTAACTGCTAAATATAACCGGATCAAGAATTCGTAACATCTCGCAACATTTTGTTCGCCGTAGCCATCTCGCACAACGGCGCTCTAGGTCCGCAAACGCCATAGATTCATCAACCATTTGAATTCCCCACCCCAAAGCAACTGGGAGCAAGGGGCAGCGCGATATGCGTAGAATGTGGCCTAGAAGGAGTCATTATTTATTTGGTATACTCAGACTTACAGTTTATGATGTTTATATGTTAGCATATATAAAGTACCAGCTCTTGGAGTATGGTTCGTAAAGAGGGCGAGGTGGCTGTCTTAGTGCCACGAAACCATTTCCTGCATCACTGGTCCCCCTAGACAACTGCAAGCAAATGGGTAGATGAATTTCGCGTAAAATTGGGCCTTGGAGTTGTCATTCTTTTTATGGATAAGTCATTTATTTGCATAGAATATTTACATTGTAGTGCATTTGTTCATTATGCAGGATACTCAAAGGTTCCTTTGGATGAGTTGACCTTTGTTGCACAGTTATGACCTTGAAGATGATTCATCAAAGTCAAGAAAGGCCATGTTCATACCGTGTACCATGTCCCTCTTAAATTTTGAATTAAGTCAGATGACGACTTGCAGAGTGTTTTCTCTTAAAAATCACAGGCAGTTATTAAAATGACAAATTAATTTTCAGAACTGTATGCTGACAAAGTTGCCAAAATTCTTAAAAATTGCCTACTGGTAGAAACGTGGCGCAACGGCCCTGGTAACCTGCCTTCTTCCTGTTCAGGGATGTTCAACGTTTTCAACGTGTTGTCTGTTAAACTGCCACCCAACGTAAGTTTCCCTACGACTCGCGACCATTCCAAATGGGTGGTTTCGATAAAGGGCGATGGCGGTGGTTGGGTGTGCATAGGGGACATCAATCGACAGGTAGGACTTTGTCGTTGAGACGCAAATGATCGTTCTTTCTGCGTTTAGCAAGGTCAGCTTACTCGGGCGGGTGGAACAGTTTGTGTGAACGATGCCACCGTCTGGAAGGTCTACCGCGATTCTGTTGACGGGGTGGAGAAGTGCAAGATTAATAGACGGGGACGAGTGTAAGAAGCTGAATCCACACACCGGCAGATGCAAAACGTCCATGAATGGAATTTCAAGCGCTTTGGCGAATTGTCATTTTTCAGTTGTTTCGATACAAATGAAATGTCGTCAATAAAGTCATTGTTCAGTTTTGCTTTACGCAAGTGTTCAGCTCCGATGCAAACTTAAACCAGATTCAGAGCCTGTCATGTACCGTGACAAGGTGTCGATTATTGAGGAGCTGTTTGCTCTAATCGGTCAGAGGCAACCACTGGCACCGTTCGGTTTGTGGGCGAGAGCATACCTCCGCAGAGGTCACAGGTGACCACTGTTAAGTGTCCATTCACATAGATGCAACGTCAATGCGTTGTCTTGTTCCGGATTTCCATGTTTCCTTAGGGCAGAGCACAAGGTAGCGAACCGGAACAAAGGCCTCG